CGGTCCTTTTAAGCAAATCCCCCTAGTAAAAATCACAAAATACGTGGATAATAAAAAGTAGTAATTTTAAATGTGATTTAAATGAAAATTTCACTTTGACTGAATAATAAAAATAAATTTTAATTTACTTCAAATGTTTCCTAAACATAAGCATGTTATAAAATTTAAGGTTGGACAAATCTCTCGAACCGAACTAAATCAAACAGTTGTTTAAGTTAAATAACCAAACGGTAGGGGCGGACGCAAAACTTAAAAGTTAAGGAGGCACAATTGAACTTGCAAAGAAGTTGGGAGAAATTTACAATCGAAAATTTTCGTCCAAAAAAATCATACATCATGTAATTTCACATCAAAAAATTTAGATGGGATAGGACTTTTTCAGATGTAAATTTTCGAAAAAAATTTATGTCATATTCCATATAAAATTTCCTAATAAAATGATAAAAAGTACATTGAGAAATTTGTATCACAAATATAATAAATATTAATAAAATAATTAGTTTTTTTAAAAAAAATGTTGACGTCTTTTTTAAAGACGCGTGTTTAATGTATTTTTAACTTTTTTCGATCCCGTTTGGACTATTCGATATGCCCATAATGTAATTCTTGAAATAAACTTTGAGATGACATAAACAATTTGTAAATTCGATTAGCGTACGATCGTCGGAGAATTTTTAAAATTTGTATATTTCTAAATTCAAATTTATTTTGATTTTACCCCTGTTTGGTGGAAATTAAAATCAATTTTTTAGTAAATTTTGGTACCAATTAAACNATTAGCATGTTATTGAAATTCAAATTATTGTGATTTTGCCCCAGTTTGGTAGAGAATTAAAATCAAATTTTTAGTAAATTTTGATAAAAGTTTAACAGTTATGGATTCTATAAAATATGTTATTAAAATTAATTGTTAATTTTGATTTATATTAAAATTTAGATTTCTATCGATACCAAACTCGATTTTATTTAAAAAAAAAACTCAAAAGTCGGCGGACACTTGCCCCCCAGGACCCCTCAAGTCCACCCTACCGAACGAGTATTTGAATCGAGAACCGATATATTTGATTCGATTCTCAATTCTAGACGAAGATTAAAAGAATTGAATCTCCTTAATTTTTTTTTAATTTTTATCTTAAGTAAGTCACATTATTTTATTTTATTTTATTTTTTCTAAATAAATTTGCTAGCNACAAATTCAAAATATGATTTTGCTATTTTTAATTTTAAACCAAGCCCAACTTAATTAAATTCATCTAAATTTTTACCCAAATATTTTATTCTACCGTAGTACAATTTCTGTCATTCTATTATTGTGAATTCATTATATTTCTTGCTGTGATTTTAACAGTCAAATATATGAATAACTCAATAAAAAGGCGCAAAAACATCACGAAAATAGATTACGTCATGTTGTAAGAACTAAGATTATTAAATATGTCATAGTCAAATTAATATAACTTCGTAAATTAAAAAAAAAATTATTTATTGTACGAAACCCGAAAACCTAACCAAACAGAGTGAAACCGAATCCCGAACGGTTTCGTAATTAAATTTGCATCTGACGATTACATTTACTAAATATCCGAAAATTCAAAATCAAACCATGTCCGAGCCTAATACAATCATCAATTCAAATATATTACTGTTTGGCCTGATTGAATTTGAGTTTCAAGAAATTATAAAGTTACCAATAATTATAAATTACAGCAATCAAATTACTAATGAAAGATAGTGTCTGATAAGAAAAAAATAAGCACAAAGTAAACCCGGAGGCCTATGTTGTTCAGAAAATATATAGCATCTAAGCAACTTACCCGAACATCTAATTTTAAGTTATATGAACTCAAATAAGCACAAAGTAAACCCGGAGGCCTACATTGTTCAGAAAATATATAGTATCTAAGCAACTTGCCCGAACAGATATTTAATAAAGAGCTCCCTGTCTAACAAATATAAGTACTTGTGCCAACTACTTGAAATGCACGCAGTAAAATCGAGCCACCTTCCATTTGGCTGTGTACTGATTTTGCTTCTCTCGAAAATACTCTCCACAGTACATTAAACAACCTAACTAGGAACAAACAAATCCAGAGAGGGTATAATGTCACGAAATTATTAGTACAAAGCCAGGCAAATTCAACAAGGTTGTACACTTCTCTATGGTGTCGAGCACAGACAAGGAGAACATCAATGTCTTCCAATTAACAGGGTTCAGAGATTCAAAGGAATTTGTGAACTGAGGTTCAATGAATCAGTTCTTCCCATCTATCACACAAGGACTGGTGCATGTTGCCAAGAACACACCAACAGAATTACGATGGCACTGCATCAAATTAAAAGGTTAGTGAAAGAATTGTTATTACACTTACAAAGAACTAGATGCTGCACAAAGAAAGGATGGAGATTGTGAGCGCATCTACAAAACAAGTTTCTTTAGAAATATATCCAGCAACAGTTGATTCGTAGCCCACAAGCATATGTCAGTAATAATAACAGTAACCACGCTAACAAAACAGCAACGAACATTGGTCAAGCTTTACGTGTGGATTTAGACCCAACAGATCCATATCTGATGGCCATAACAGGTAACATTCGTACAAGTATCATGTGGATTGGAGAGGAAAGACATCTAATCTATAAGAGTCCTGCAAATTCATATCCAAAACGGAAATCTAAAAAATGACTGAACCCAGTAAGTCAAATTTCAAGAGATGGGTATAACAATAAACTATAAACATATGCGCTTGTTAGGGAGAGATTTTTTGAAAATCATTTTTCCCCAAAATCATTTTCAATCAACTGTTCTATGTGGCTCATAACTTTTCCCTAATTTTTAACCACATGTTCTCCTAATAAATCATTTTTCACTTAAAAAAAATCTCCCAAACAGTTGCTTAGACATCCAATCTGGGACAGAAAAGTAAAATTTTACTGAATCAGTTGTCTTTACAATTTTTAAACAATGGAGATGTGGGAGGAAGGACTCGACTTATTGTTCTATCCAAAAATATAGCAAGCGTAATCAAGCATCCAACCAAGAAGAGGTTACTGTTGAGAATGAACCAAGTAGGGAAGCGAAAATGAAATGAGGCCTTCTTTTTCAAAAAATCCCAATATATCTTTATCCCCTCTTCTCCATTAATTAGTCTTCCCCAGCCCCAACTAACCCCTCCACCCCCTTGCCTCACCATTTGAAAAGAATAGACAATCCAAGAAACAGGTAGATTGGCCAATGCACGACTTATTGATGTTTTTGACCAATTTATCAGTATTAAAGGGCAGCCATTAATGCAAGGATACTGGAAGTTCCTAGACAAGATTTACAAAAATAAAATTATAAAGGCAAAAGAGGTTACTGTATGTAGATGTATCAATCTGCTCAGGAAGCTCTTTAATATCCACCTCAAACCTCTCCTGGACCTGCAACAAGATCCAGGCAGATTTCATACAATGAACCCAGCAAAAATGGATTCGTAGTGGACCAAACTATCATAATAAAAACCTGATTGAGAACATCAGAATCAGATGCGGAAGAGACAAATGTGATGGCAAGCCCTTTGGTGCCAAACCTTCCAGCTCTACCCACCTGTCAAATGAAAGACCAAACAAAATATTCACCCATTTTCTCATATTTACATAGAACACCATTGAAACTGAGAGAAATAGAAAAGAATATACCCGGTGCAGGTAAGTGTCTGCAGAATCAGGCATGTCATAATTAATGACAATGTTGACACGTTCTATATCAATTCCTCTGCCAACCAAATCAGTAGCCACAAGAATCCTTTTATGCCCCTCCTTGAAACCTTTGTAGCGAGTCAATCTGCAAATTCAAACCATCAAGAGTATGAATTTCCATTCCTTAATTGACACCCGAATTCAACTAGTCTAACCTCTTATCATGACAAGATATCAACCATGTTTGAACATAGTAATTGAAACAAAACAAAAGGTGAAATTTTCATGCAATGACTTAATACCAAAAAATAATGGCGTTTTCTCAACATGTATTCCTCAAATTTAAGCCCAAAAAAATGAAAACGGGACCTTTTTTGTGAAAATGTGTTCAAACAGCTACTAAGAATGTATGCACCTCCAGTGACTTGTATAACATTCATTAAGTCTTGATCGTGTTATCATTGATACAATTTAAGTGGATTCAAAATGATTTATATCATAGCTCAGTTGAAAATATTTATTAAAAGAACCGACTCAAAAACTACCCCTTCTTCCACATATGAATCATGTCTTTCAAAGTGATACAAACCTTTCTTCCTGGGACATGCCAGAGTGGATGCAAATAGATGGAAAATTACACTCCACAAGCAATTTGTTCAGCTCAGCAGCTCTATTTACACTCTTGACAAAGATGACGACTTGATTGAAGTCCAAGGCGTCGAGCAAATCGTTCAGCTTCCGGTTCTTCTCCAGCTCACTCAATTTGATGTAGTGCTGCCAGCAAAGTTATCAAGTATTAAGTCAAACCTGTACATAGGGATTCTACATAGGGATTCTACATCTCCAAAAACAAACCTGTACAAGACCATGAAGGGTCAACTTGGCTTCATCGTCCACATAAATTTCCATAGGCTGTAAATAAGAAATGTCACAGGAAAGCATATTAGGAGTCCATCCGAAGCTAATGGTATCCAGTAAATGAATGACGGAAGAACATCCACCGAATCGAGGGTTCCACTCCATGTGATTTGCCTCCTTCCAAATTATCCACTATCCAGACCAACTAGTGTCGCCGCCATTACACAACAAAACTACTACAAAACACATAGGTTTACACCACCAACATTCTCCTCTTTTATCTTCTTTCCACCAAAAAAGAAAAATTAAAAGTAAAAAAAGCCTTAAATTAAGAAGTAAAATTGCTACTCGCAGTAAAACTGATGCACGCCACCATTAGACCTAGTCAATCCTATGTCCTCTCCACTGGACCTTTTCATTCAGACGTCACTTTGTGTCAGTAGGCTAGATAAACACGACATTGCAAGAATATAATGCTTCAATCACTGCATTCTTGATTAAGTACTGTCAGCAGAATGAGGGATATCGGAAAACTGGAAGACTTCTAAAATTCAAGTAGGAATGGCCACAGGACATTACATCTTGCATGAACTTCTTGCAAACAGGTCGAATCTCCTTGCTGAGCGTAGCTGAGAACATCATAACTTGCTTGTCATGAGGGGTCATCTTGAAGATCTCCTGCACATCTCTTCTCATATCTGTGAGGACAAAAAACAGCTAATGAGCAAAATGGGAACTATTTTTAGTGTTCAGAGAGAAAGATTCAGGTGTTTAGGATGAAACAAGACTTAATACTACTAAGGTGGCATACCAAGAGATTCGAGCATCTTGTCACATTCATCCAGTATGAAATGTCTCACATTTCTCAAGGAAAGGTCCTTGTCTCTTGCAAGAGCGAGTATCCTTCCAGGTGTTCCGACAACAATGTGAGGACATTCGTTCTTCAATAAATCTTTGTGGATTTTTATGTTGACACCGCCATAGAAAACAGCAACTTTGATGTCTGGCAAATACGTGCTGAAACGCTCAAATTCGTGACAAATCTGCAAATGAATAAACGACATATAAGTGATCTGCCAACAAATATCAACCCATATGTCGATAAAAAATTCAATAATATGAAAAAGTGCATCATTTCACAAATTAATGAATGCATGAAAACATACATGGAGAGGCACTACAATTTAGGCTGTAAACAGATACGAAAAAATTATGCTTTTCTTAGCTAGAATACATGCCTGGTAAGCTAATTCCCTTGTGTGACATAGAACAAGTGCAGCAACTTGACCAGCAACAGGTTCAATCTGCTGCAATGTTGAGAGAACAAAAACAGCAGTTTTTCCCATTCCAGATTTTGCTTGACAGATGACATCCATTCCCAAAATAGCTTGAGGTATGCACTCATGTTGAACTGATGAAGAACCATTGAGATTTGATCCAAAGAAGCCTCAGATTCAATTAAAAAAAGAAAACATTCAACGTCTCACAAGGTGGGTGATAATGATGTTTACCTGAGAAGTAAAAGATAATAAATGTTGTAAAAAATATTCCAAACATTCTAGTTTCTTAAAGGTACAGAAGTGGGACAGAAAATAAAAATGGCAAGAAAAGAGCACAAGAGGAAAAAGCATTGTCTAAATAACATGAAAAAATTCTTCAAAGAGGGCAATAGCAAAAGATATTTAATACACTCTTGAGGCAACAGCATAAATGCACAATTGATACTGGACTCACTAACATGAACTGTCAATCTAATTCAACTCACCTATAAAAACTAATATCATTAAAAGAAGATACAATTAATGGACAAACAACAGAAAATATTTATAGCCTGATGCAGATGGTGTCACTTATAAATACATGGCCGTTTTATTGAACTTTCTACTTGTCATTTTCTTAACATTTAGATTCCTTTTATTATTCCTCAAGTTTGTTAGTAAGCTACACTGTTATACGAAAAGGTCATACTAGTTGGTAAAAAAAACTCAATTTCTGTTAATTGGAAAAGAATTTTTGAAGACAATTTCAGAAAAATTACCTCATTTTCTAAGTTTTCTTCTATCTAATTCGACATTATAGACACCACAGACTTGATTGCATACGGGCAGGGTGCCCCATAATTGGTAAATACTAAATAGTTACAAATGACATCTGACATGAGTTGAAAAATTATTCCATTCAGTACACCATACACAGAATGAAGTGCCTGAGTAAAAAATTAACACAATTTCTTTAAATAAAGAACCAGAAGAAGTATCTTGCCTTCTGATGGATGCTCAAATCCTGAATCCACAATAGCGCGTAGAAGCTCTGGCTTCAAGAGAAAGTCTCTGAATCCCGAACTGTGAATGCCTACATAACCCCTGCAATTAAAACAAGGAATTGACACTCAGGTTATTATTACAAATTGGATACTGATGCATACCATGTTTAGTCCACAAAAAACTGCAGGTATAAAAATTAACTTCTCTAAAAAACATAGCAGATTTCTACTGCAGAAAAAATAATGATAAATAAAAAAAATCCCAAATTGAGAAGCAGTTATCCATAGATTAGACAGTTAAAATGATTACTTCAGATCCTACAGAAACTTGTGAAGCTCTCTTCAATGCATAAAATGAAGTTCATCCCCTGGACTTCACTATTTGAACATTCAAGAACATCTAACATTATCTTTACGAAATCTTTATGACAAACAAAATAAAATAATTCTTCTAGACTATCAGAATCACCAAAAGGAATTCAGTTCACTATTTTCTGTTATAAAGCTTAATCTACTATATCCAATTAATATATAAATGAAACAGTTCATGTATCCCAAACAGAAAAGGGACTTTCGAGCAAACTTACTATAAAACGAAACACAGATTTACATAATAAATTGAATTCGCTAATCGTAAGAAAGCACAAATGTCGAGAAAATATTTATTATTTAACTCGGATCTATATAATAGATTAAAGAAGCTAATTTGAATGAAAGCAGAAATTACCAAGAAAGAAATAGAGGTTTTAATCAACTAATAAGGCTTACACGAAGAGTGATTTTAAGTGGAAAATTTATCACGGGAAAACCAAAACTTTCGAATCCATAATATCAACTCTGAAGCAAAATTTATTGTAAGCTTACTTCTTGGCGGACTCGCCGTTGACTTTAGCGTTGACGGAATCAAGGGCTTTTTCGTCTTCTTCCTCGTAGTCGAGAAGCTCCTCCTCGTATGCATCGTTCTCCTTGGTGTCTCCCATCTTTCTGCAACTCTTACTGCAACATAGCAACATAAAACAACAGATCAGTACAATTGCTCTCTTCTTCAAACTGAAGAAATCAGATCTTCACTTAATTACATGTAAATAAATCAATACAAAATACGTATACATAAGGATTTCTGTTCGCTTACCTACTAGAGAATATAAAATTATAGAGGAGTTTGAATTAAGGTCCGGATGTTCTGCAGGGAAAAACGTTAGGAAAAAAGCGATAGGGTTCTGTTTAGGGATGTGAAGGCATTTTAAAACTAAATTGACAGTTGTGTCCTTAGAAGATTATGATAATTATGAGAGCGTTTAATCATTTTATATGCAACTAGGGGTTCGGAAATAAGAGAGAGTTTCACCTCTGTTCCCAACTCATTGACTTTCTTACAATTTGGTCCTTAAATTATTTTCTTCTTTTAATTTTTGGCAATGCCACAACCGTTATAAAGAGATTTTCATGGAAAATGAATTTTGAAATAGTAAGGGACCGTTCTTTTCATATTTCAATTTTGTGTTTTTAGTTTTGAATTCATTTTGAGTTTTTTGTTTTTAGTGTTCATTTTGAAATTTTTGAACACGTGTTCTTTTTGCCATTTTTAAAAATTGTTTTGAAAATTAAAAAATCTAAAAATACATTTACCTTCTCCCCTGAATTTTCTTGCTTATCTCCCTCTCTCTTCTTCCCTCCCTATTCTATGGCCATCGTATTCATTGTAGACCATCACTGATCGACTACCCACCTTCAGGCGACTCAGAAACAGCCCTCAATTTAATCAAAACAACAATTAATCGAAATGAGGGTTGCGATCCCATTTCGCACAGTCCGAAGAAATATATGATTCCTGCGTGCAGATAAGTTGGGTACCAGCACCACCATATGGGTCACCTTCCTCTCCCTTAGGGGCGCTTAACCCAATCATATGATAAGCCTAATTTCAACCATAGCTCGCTGATTTTATGGGTGAACTTAACGTTGAAAACTGAAAATTTGTGGTTGTGGTTGTGGTAGTGGTGGTGGCACCATGTTGTGGAGGTTTTTGTGGTGGTGGTTTTGGCGACGTGGTCTTGGTTGAGTGATGTTGTGGCTGTGGTGGTGGTTCCGATGATGGTGATGGTTAGGGTGATGTTGGGGCTGCGACAGCAGTTGGTAGTATTTTGCAGGCAACAATGGTGGTGGTTGAGGGTGATAGTAATTGAAAACAACGAAAATGTGTTTTGAAAAGTTTAGCCAAATTATGACTGAAAACATCCCAAACGACAAATTTGTTGTTTTGGGTTTTTTTTTGTAAATTTCAAACTTATTTTTAGAGAGACGTTTTCGAAAATAAGAAAAAGAACGCTAATTTTCAATGAAAATGATAAAGAGAACATACCTAATTTTGTAGAGAACGTGTTAAAAAGCATGAAGAATTTTGGGTTTACGTACAAAATATTTTATTGTGAGAATGTGTAATTGAAAATGAGTTTTAGAAAAAATGAATTTCGTAAAAATTGTTGTTTAGTCTTTCAGGTGAATTGAAGGGTGATAAGTGTATTTTCTACACTTATTCGGGCTTGAAAATATAAAATTTTATTGTTCTTTTGGCAAAATTTTACATAATTTATGTTATATTATATTGTGTAGGTAAAACTTTATGTTTGATGAAGAATTGGAGAAAAGAAGCAAAATATGGTGAAAAATGGTAAAATCCAAAGTTCGAGGATCAAATTACAAATACTCAAGAAGATACTTTGAAGATTGCTAGGAGACAATTGGATTGA